CAGAACGACGAATGAAACTGGGTCCCTCAGCTCGCTTCCAAAAACAACTTAGCCTGACGAGGGACCCAACCATATGCAGGTGTGAGCACCGCAATAGTGATTCACTTTTTCGGTGGCGATCCCTATGAGGCAACGAATCGCGCTAGGGGCGTGCCGACATGAGTGGCGTGGTACACAACGCGAACGAAAACGATTGATCTGAGTACGTAGGGAGACTGGGCGCGGGTGAATCAGCGCGCGTGCGTCTGACTGTGAATGAATCTGCGTGCTAGCGAGTCTACGTGCATGAATGCGAATATGGCAAGGCGTGGTGCAATTGTGTATGAATGTCAATAGTTTGACAATGACTGCCTCTGAGTACTCGCGACGCTGGGCGTGGCCGCCGCAAGGAGCTTCCCCGGGACTCCCCGACGGCATTGCCCGCGCGCCGCGACGCCAATGTCGGCGCGCCCCCCCGCGAGGATCGCGCCCGCTCCCCCCCCTTCCTTTACTCCCTCTTTGCCCGCGCACTCAAAAGTCCAAGGCTGCGGGCGCAGCGCAGCGCGGAGTCCCCGCGACGCGCGCAGGTCGCCCCGGAGGGGTCCCAGCTACGCGCGCGGGTCGCCCACTGCGCGGAGCAAAGAGAGCTAGCTGGCTGGCTGATAGCGGGCAAGGCTCTTGCCGATGGGCAGGGCGACGACGGGCGAGCGAGGCGCTGGGCAGAAAGCAGCACGGAGCCCCCGCGACGCGCGCAGGTCGCCCCGGAGGGGTCCCAGCGACGCGCGCGGGTCGCCCGCTGCGCGGAGCAACGAGATCTAGCTGGCTGGCTGGGACCTGCGGTGGGGCTCCATATGGGGCCACGTAACGCTGTACTGGGCAAGGGAGACGCATGCGGACTGCGCCGCGGAGACCTTCGGTGGAGTTCCCTATGAGGCCACGAAACGTGTGAGGGGCGTGCCGAAATGAATGGCGGGGACGCACGCGGACTGTGCCACTGGGACCTTCGGCGGAGCTCCTATGGGGCCACGAAGCGTGTGAGGAGTGTGCCGAAATTAATGGCGGGGGCGCATGCGGACTGCGCCACGGGGACCGTCGGTGGAGTTCCTATGGGGCCACGAAACGTGTGAGTGGTGTGCCGAAATGGGTGTGCGGGACGCATGCGGACTGTGCCACTGGGACCTTCGGCGGAGCTCCTGTGGGGCCACGAAACGTGTGAAGGGTGTGCCGACATGAACGGCGGGAACGCATGCGGACTGTGCCACGGGGACCTTCGGCGGAGCTCCTATGGGGCCACGAAACGTGTGAGGGGTGTGCAGACATGAATGGCGGGAACGCATGCGGACTGTGCCGCCGGGACCTTCGGCGGAGCTCCTATGGGGCCACGAAGGGTATGTGAGAAGTGGGCCGACATGAATGGCGGAGACGCATGCGGACTGTGCCACCGGGACCTTCGGCGGAGCTCCTATAGGGTCACGAAGCGTGTGAGGGGTGTGCCGAAATGAACGGCGGGGACGCACGCGAATTGTGCCAATGGGACCTTCGGCGGAGCTCCTGTGGGGCCACGAAACGTGTGAGGGGTGTGCCGACATGAGTGGCGGGGGCGCATGCGGACTGTTCCACTGGAACCTTCGGCGGGGCCCCTATGGGGCCACGAAACGTGTGAGGGGTGGGCCGAAAAGAACGGCGGGGGCGCATGCGGACTGTGCCACTGGGACCTTCGGCGGAGGTCCTGTGGGGCCACGGAACGTGTGAGGGGCGTGCCGAAATTACACACCCACAAGGACCTTCGGTGGAGCTCCCTGTGGGGCCACGAAACGTGTGAGGGGTGGGCCGACATGGGTGTGCCGGACGCATGCGGGCGCACCCACTGAGACCTTCGGTGGAGCTCCCTATGGGGCCACGAAGCGTGTGAGGGGTGTGCCGAAATGGGTGTGCGGGACGCATGCGGGCACACTCACTGGGACCTTCGGTGGAGCTCTCAATGGGGCCACGAAACGTGTCAGGGGTGGGCCGACATGGGTGTGCGGGGCGCATGCGGGCACACCCACTGGGACCTTCGGTGGAGCTCCCTATGGGGCCACGAAGCGTGTGAGGGGTGGGCCGAAATGTGTGTGCGGGACGCATGCGGGCACACCCACTGAGACCTTCGGTGGAGCCCCCTATGGGGCCACGAAACGTGTGAGGGGTGTGCCGAAATGGGTGTGCGGGACGCATGCGGGCACACCCACTGGGACCTTCGGTGGAGCTCCCTATGGGGCCACGAAACGTGTGAGGGGTGTGCCGAAATCGGTGTGCGGGACGCATGCGGGCACACCCACTGGGACCTTCGGTGGAGCTCCCTATGGGGCCACGAAACGTGTGAGGGGTGTGCCGAAATGGGTGTGCGGGACGCATGCGGGCACACCCACTGGGACCTTCGGTGGAGCTCCCTATGGGGCCACGAAACGTGTGAGGGGTGTGCCGAAATGGGTGTGCGGTGCGCATGCGGGCACACCCACTGGGACCTTCGGTGGAGCTCCCTATGGGGCCACGGAACGTGTGAAGGGTGTGCCAAAATGGGCGTGCGGGACGCATGCGGGCACGCCCACTGGGACCTTCGGTGGAGCTCCCTATGGGGCCACGAAGCGTGTGAGGGGTGTGCCGACAAGGGTGTGCGGGACGCATGCGGGCACACCCACTGGGACCTTCGGTGGAGCTCCCTATGGGGCCACGAAACGTGTGAGGGGTGTGCCGAAATAGGTGTGCGGGACGCATGCGGGCACACCCATTGGGACCTTCGGTGGAGTGCCGAAATGGGTGATGACGATGATGATGGTGGGAGGAGGAGGAGGAGAAGGAGGAGGAGGAGGAGGAGAGGAGGAGGAGGAGGAGAGGAGAGGGGGAGGAGAGGAGACGCGGGCCACCGTCTCTTCAAAACGAGCACCCAGCACCACAGGATCAGTCAGTGGAGCCGCGCCGCACGGCGCATCGGCTAAACAGCACAAGGCTAATTACAACAGTTCTAACGCACAGCCTCTCAGAAAACATACGCCTGGGCAACGCTTCTCCATTCGCCTGGGCATACGTTGGGAAAAAAAGACGATCCGACGCGCCGCGAGAAGTCCCGAGTTCTCTCTCCAGCGATTCCACGAGCATGCGAAAACAACGGCCCAACACTACCCGACCCCCATATGACCGAACATATGTACGAAACTAATTATAATCCAGTGGCCCTGGCATGGGTCCTATCGCAACTCGCAGTGAGCAGGCGCGAGGAGCTCGCGCCGCCTGCACTGGCGCAGTGCGAGGCTCTTCACGAAACTTGGCCACCAGGATTGCAGCTGCTCTCGGGCGCGACTGCGCATGTGGCTCCCTACTGGATCCAGCGGGTCCTGGTCGGGAAGGTAGATGGACCCAAGGATGAACCCACCTGCCGCGTAAACGCTCCCCCCTGAGCATCTCGTCGGCGCGGGCACGCCACGGACTTGGTGTCAGTCGGCGGTGTGCACAAACCGACGAACTCCCTGCATGCCGCTACGACGCCACCCGAGAGGCCCCTTGCCTCCGCGACCTCTGACGGGCTGATGCGGGATTGCCAGCCCAACTTCTTAAGCTGGGCGTCGCTCTCGGCTCGCCCCGAGGGTTCCACGGCGACGTCTTGAAGCGCGACGATCTGCCTCGATACTCCCATTCTGGAGTTGCTGTTTCGCCGAGGACCAAGCCGTAGCAGTACATTGACTTTCTGTCGTGGCTAGCCTGATCGCTTCGCTCGAATTCGCTGGGGCCCTGCACGAGGCCAGGCCCCAGGGAGGAGCAGGACAGACGCCAAGGGGGAGGCTGGGAGGGGGCGAGGTCGGCGCGGGCGGGGGCCAAGCCAGGATCGGAAAGACGAAGCGGTTTCCCCTGCCGGGCCCCCCCCGAAGTCCAGCAGGACCTGTTACCCGCCAGGCAGCCTCTCTCCCCTGCCCACTCCCCTGGACTCCCCCAGCGGTGGCCGAGGATCCTCCAGCACCTCCTGCACTGCTGCCGACCTGTCCTGCTCTGCCCCTTTGCTGCCAGGCACCACGGCGGCCTTGGCACGAACATCCTGCTCGGGGGAAGCTGGGACAGCGGCCCCACCGCTGGCGGCGCCGCCGCCACCCCCTTCGGACGGCTCGGGATACCGAGGAGCAGCGCCACCTGAAGAACAACCTGCACAGGGAACGTGGTCGCGATCGTGCGCCGCGTTGCCACCCTCGCCCTTCCGCTTGTTCTGGAAGCGGTCGACGTGGGCAGCGTGCTCCTTCCGCAACTCCTCCACCGTCTGATTCGCGTTGTCGAACAGCTGCTTCGCCAAATCCTGCACTTCTTTGCGGCCTCCTGCTTGTCGCCATCTGTGAGCTCGTAGATGTCCGCCAGCCCGCACGTGTTTTCGCACCCCGCGAAATCGATCCACGTGTCCCTGGTGAACAGCTGCTCCAGGCAGATTCTGCCCGTGGCATCCTCCAACACCATGTCCCCCGTCTTGCGGCCCAGCGCCAGGAGCTGCTTGACCTTGTCGAGCGCCCGGAGCCTTTCGTCGCCATTCCCGAGGCCAGGCGGCGGCTCCAGGCCGACATAGCGCGGCTCGTGCACAGCCAAAGCTCCAGTTCAGGCTGCTCCTCGACGGACGCATCCCGAGCGACGTGGCACTGGACGCAGCACCGAGTGCTCCACCCCTTATACTTACGCCCACTGCGTACGCACTTTATTTCCTGTTCGGCCATCTGGAGACGTCCCTCTTCTTCCTGCCCGCCCACGACACACTCTTTTGGTGCGCACCCTCCGTCGCAACAGTGCCCCACGCCATGAAGGCGTACCGAAACGAAGGTTGGACGTGGCCGACTGGAGACAAAAACCGTCACCATGGCAAGGGCTGCTGGTCGAGGGTCATGCGGGCCTCTGACCAATGTGAGCCCCAACGCTAGGGAAGACAACGGCTTAAGCCAAAACCTTGAGCCAAACGCTACGGACCTCCTCCTCCTCCTCCGCCTCCTCCTCCTCCTCCATCTCTGTCTGGGATCCTCCTGGCGGCTGCTCGGGCTGCGCGAGGACGACGGCCTGGCGGCGCCGAGAACCTCGGCGTCGACGGCGTTGTCGCTCCGGTTGCCGGCCGCGGCCTCGGCATCATGATGAAGGGGAACGGCGCACACACCCTTTACACCGCAGCGCGGCGAAGGCGATTCTCGCGCTGTAATAGGCCGGAAGCGGGCCAAGCGGTGCACACACAGACACACACGGACACACACCAATCCTGGCCAGGCCCAGCCTGAACCCATGCCGAGCCCAGTACGCCTCCCTGGCTTAGCATTGGAGGCATATGGCATTTACAATGATCCTGGGCCCAGGGTGGGCCTGGCCAGGATCGGTGAGGTGGTCGACTGACGCCCCCCGAGGGGTGGAAGCGGGGGGGAAGGATCAAGGGAGGTGGAGGACGGGAAGGGAAATGGAGCGGGGAAGAAGCAAGGGGGCCTAAATTCGCGCTTCGCGCTGCGCGAGGCGCGAATAACTTCGCGTTCCCGCGCCGCTCCCAAGGGAAAAAAGGAGGAAGAAACATCGGAGCCGAACCGCGAAACGCGAAAAGGGAAGGGTCGAGGGAGGTGGAGGACGGGAGGGAAAATGGAAAGGGGAAGAAAATAAGACTAAGACGAAACCAGGACGAAAATAAAAATCGTGCGATGATGAATCGAAAACCTCTTGGATCCAGCGGCTCTGGAGGATGTCTCGGGCGCCGCGGCCTTCTCAGAGCGTTCTGGAACGCTCTGAGAGCGTTCCGGAGCGCTCTCCACCACCGCCACCACTAAGCCTCGCGTCCGTCTGGTCGCGCGGGCAGACACGCCAAATGCGCGCAAGAGCGCGGGATAGCCGACGCGCCAAATATGCGCCAAGGAGAACACGAGACACGCCAAACGCGTGCCGGCACAGGAGGGAGGGGGAAGGACGACGAAGAGGAGACGATGATGAAGATGGTGCGATATATGCAAAATCGTTTCACGAATGTTGTGTGCACTTGTACGCTTCTGCTGCCCATTGCTGCCGGGGGCGGCCACGTTTTCTGCGAAGTGCCCAGTTGCGCGGAGTGCCATCCGGATTACAAAGAATTGTTTTGACCATTGAAATATCTGGACATGCGTACAATTTCTTGTACAGCGCCACTTGGTTGCCCAATAAGATTAGCGAGAGTTGTTTGGCAGACGGTTTCTCCAATACTGTTGCATTCGTCACTCGAGAAATCAATGAAGGTGCAACTCCCAGCAGACGCCGCAAACATTTACAATGAAAGGCGTCCAAACGCATTCTGTCGGATTCGAGCAGCAAAACAGAATCCAGCGAGTACAACAACTGGCTTAATACACAACTCTCGTAAATGATACTTTTTCGTCTTATCCCAAACGACGTGCGAGACCATAACTTGTTGAATTGCTTGAATGTCCTGCTGGCCTCCCCCAGTCGCCGTGTCAATGTTGCTCCAACTTTGCCATCGCGCGTAATCAACCCTCCAAAGTAAATCGCTTCTCGTACAACTTTAATGCTTTCACCGGACGGCCTTGAAACGGAGCTGTTCGTAGAAATCTGAATTTGCAATGTTTTGTCCCAGTTGAGTTCAAGACCGTATTTCGTTCCTTCGCCCATTATTGCGGCAAGCATTGTTTGGAGATTTTGCGGGCTCTACGAAGCAAGCAGGGTGTCGTCGGCATACAGAATGTCGCGCGATACCAAATACGCTGGCTCTTGTTGTAGATGCAGATCACCAAACGCATCGTGTAGCATAACTGCGTGGACGATGATGAACAAGTATGGCGATAGGGGACACCCTTGGGCTATACCTGCGCGCTGCTGCCTTTGAGACGAGTGGCCCGTGTGATCTACACTGGTGAAATAACGGGCCGCATACATGGATTCCACCATGTGTACAAAGCGCTGCGGTACACCAAACCTTTCCGAAACTTGGCACATGCAATCTGGTTTGAGTCGGTCGAACGCTTTTGACCAGTCCAACATAAGCAAGAACATACCACCCGTGTTGTTCATGTGTGCGGCATCGATCACTCGCCTGATCATCATCAGAGCCTCGCCTGTGCCCCGTTTTGGCCGGAATCCCAATTGAGAGTCTCGCATTGCTTCTTCTGCTCCTCCTTGAATCAACCTGTTGTGCAAAACAGACGCCAGGAATTGTACCCAACTGGCAGCAGAGATATCGGCCTGTAGTTCGCTGGCAGTGCAGCATCCCCTCTTATTGAAAAAACAAAACGACGTTTGCGGTTCTCCACGACTCGGGGATCGCCTTTTGGTCTCAGCATTGCGGGCACATAGCCAGAAATATACCGCAGGCAGTGCCATCTTTGTCAAAAGCTTCCAGAATTCGGGCGGTATGTCGTCAGCTCCAGCGGCTTTGCCTTGTTTCAATTTTCGTAATGCTGTTTTCAACTCTGCCATGTTGATGGCCCTGCGTCGATAGGTAAAGTACTTCCCAATGTGTCTTCACGTTCTGGCCGAAGAGCTGGAAACTTGCATTCCCATTCTGTCTTCTCGAAATGGTCTGCCAAGATCTTCGGCCTCTCTTCGGTGTCCCCCAGCGAACCATCAGGGCGCTTGATTGTGGTATGCTTTGCGGACCCGGGTTTCCGGAGGTGTCGGACTGCGTCCCAAAATCCAATGGATGTCAGATCCATTAGCCACTTCTCCCCTCATACCAGTCGGGGCCTTGTGTCAGATATAGCTGAACAAATCGAGTACTCGAGCACGCAAGTGGACTTAGGGAACTTATCGCTGCAACTATTTATGGAAACAGATGTTCCCAATAAATTACATTTTTCTGAAAAATAAATCCCAAATCAGTTCCGTAAGTTCCCGAGCCCCCCTACCCGCCGCGGCCCCTCGGGCTCGTCCTTGAATTGGTTGTGCAATGGAGGAGGGAGGAGGAATAGGAGGCGGAGTGGGAGGATCAAGAGAGTGAGAGTGATGATGATGCTGATGATGACGATGTTGATGATGATGATGAGACGGACGAGGATGATCATGCTGATGATGATGACGATCATGATGATGATGATGATGATGACGGTGACGGTGATGGTGATGTCGATGATTGACGATGCTTTTTCCCGCCCTCAATTAGACTCCGAGCGTGGGTCGACCCACTCGGTCTCCACCTCGAGGGTGAACTTGAACGTGGCCCTCTTTGGGTGCCTGTAGTCGTACTGGTCGACGTCTGGAGATGGTGGCCCTCCTGAACCATACATCTGCAGGAAGGCGGCCTTCAACCATGGGTTGGTCACGTCCTCGATGCACTTCCACTCCTGCTCGACCTTCTTGACCCGCTTCTCGGGCGGCTGGAAGATCTCGATCAGGTAGTCGCCGCCGCGCTCGGGCTTCTTGTCGGGCACGGCGCGCGCGGCCTCTGCCATGGCTCTCGGCGGGCTCGGAGGCGGCCCCTCGGGAGTCCACGGGGCGGGCGTCTCGGCCTCGGCCCCTGCCATGGCGCGACGGGCCTCGGCCTCTTGCACGGCTCTCGTCGGCAGGAGCGGGGGAGTGCGCGGGGCGCGACTCGTCGCGGCCCCGGCCTCTGTCATGGCGAGCGGGGGAGCGCGCGGGGCGCGGGATGACATCAGACCGCAGCTTTGGGCCACTGGCAAAGGTATGCACACATATCACTTATGCGGGGTCAGCACCGTTTCAGCGGGTGAGCCGCTGTGGCGAAACCAAAATGACGATGCCAAAAAGGCGGATGTCTGTGATTGTGAGGATGTCGATGCGGGTGTAGGAAGGAGGAATGACATTTTTTGCCCAACCATCCTGTGGTGTTGGGCCCTCGTCGCCGTCGTCCTCCTCCTCCTCCTCCTTCTCCTCCTCCTCCTCCTTCTCCTCCTCCTTCTCCTCCTCCCCACCTTCTAGTTCTACGTCGGAAGTCCCTGGATCCCCTCCGCCCCCGATCCCCGACCACGCCCCAGGGAGCAAGGCCGCCCCGCGAGGGCGGGGAGGGCCGCGCCCAATTTATGTTTCACCGTGGTCGGAGACAGGGCCCCACCCCCATGTTTCACCAGGGCCCCACCCCTGTGCCCCCGCCTTTCAAAAGGGAAGCCTTCGTTCTCGAGGTCGGCGCGGCCGTTTCGGACACGTTTCCTTACTTATGTGCGCTTAAAAGGAGGGGGATGGGGGGCCGATGGGACGACGACGACGACGACGACGACGATGACGACGACGACGACAACGACGACGACGGCGAAAGGCCCCAGTGGCAGGGCTCGCTCGGGCCATTTCGGCACACCCCTCACGATGATCGTGGCCCCATAAGGAGCTCCACCGAAGGCCCCAGTGGCAAGGTTCGCACGGCGGCCTCGGGCCATTTCGGCACACCCCCCTCACGAGGGTCGTGGCCACATAGGGAGCTCCACCGAAGGCCCCAGTCGCAGGGCTCGCATGGCGGCCTCGGGCCATTTCGGCACACCAGCCACGAGGATCGAGGCCCCATAGGGAGCTCCACCGAAGGCACCCGTGGCAGGGTTCGCATGGCGGCCTCGGGCCATGTCGGTGCACCCCTCACGAGGACAGTGGCCCCATAGGGAGCTCCACCGAAGGCCCCAGTGGCAGGGTTCGCATGGCTGCCTCGGGCCATTTCGGCACACCCCCCTCACGAGGATCGTGGCCCTGTGGTGAGCCCCACCGAAGGCCCCAGTGGCAGGGTTCGCATGGCGGCCTCGGGCCATTTCGGCACACCTCCCATTAGGACCGTGACCCCATAGGGGGCTCCACCGAAGGCCCCAGTGGCAGGGTTCGCATGGCGGCCTCGGGCCATTTCGGCACACCCCTCACGGGGATCGTGGCCCTGTGGGGAGGTCCACCGAAGGCGCCAGTGGCAGGGTTCGCGCGGCGGCCTCGGGCCATTTCGGCACACCCCTCACTAGGATCGTGGCCCCATAGGGGGCTCCACCGAAGGCCCCAGTGGCAGGGTTCGCATGGCGGCCTCGGGCCATTTCGGCACACCCCTCACAAGGACCGTGGCCCCATAGGGGGCTCCACCGAAGGCCCCAGTGGCAGGGTTAGCATGGCGGCCTCGGGCCATTGCGGCACACCCCTCACGAGGACCGTGGCCCCATAGGGAGCTCCACCGAAGGCCCCA